ACCATTGTTTGTTCTCTCTTTTTTGGTTTTTCGAGACAGGGTTTCTATGAGTAGCTTTGGAGCCTAACCTGGCACTGGCTCTGTAGACTAGGCTGGCCTCTAACTCACAGAGATCTGCCTGCCTCTGCCTCCCAAGTGCTGGGATTCAAGGCGTGTACCACCAACACCCGGCCCAATTGTTCATTCTTGTTTTGGATTTGTTGGCGGTGGTGGTATTGTGTGTAGATTTCCACCCCTTTTCTCTTTTGGATGTTGGTAAAGTGGGATTATCTATTGCCTATGTTTTTGTGGGTGTAGTTATCTTCCTTGGGTTGTAGTTTTCCTTCCAGAACTTTCTGTAGGACTGGATTAGTATATGTGTATTGTTTAAATCTGGTTTTGTCATGGAATATCTTGTTTTCTCCATCTATAGTGATTGAAAGCTTTGCTGGGTATAGTAGTCTGGGCTGGCATCCGTGGTCTCTTAGTGTAGGTAGAATATCTATCCAGGACCTGCTGGCTTTCAGAGTTTCCATGGAGAAGTCAGGTTTAATTCTAATAGGCTTGCCTTTATATGTTACTTGGCCTTTTTCCTTTGCTGCTCTTCTTTCTTTATTCTGTATGTTTGGTGTTTTGATTATTATGTGGTGAGGGACTTTGCTTTGTGGTCCCCTTGATTTGGTGTTCTGGAAGCTTCTTGTACTTTCATTGGCATGTCTTTGTTTAGGTTGGGAAAATTTTCTTCCATGATTTTGTTGAATATGTTTTCTGCACCTTTGAGGTCGGTTCTTAGGTTTGGTCTTTTCACGGTGTCTCATATTTCCTGGATATTTTGTGTTAGGGATTTGTTGCACTTAAAATTTTCTTTGATAAATGAATCTATTTCTCCTAGTGTATCTTCAATGCCTGAGATTCTCTCTTCGTCGGTTCTTAGGTTTGGTCTTTTCACGGTGTCTCATATTTCCTGGATATTTTGTGTTAGGGATTTGTTGCACTTAAAATTTTCTTTGATAAATGAATCTATTTCTCCTAGTGTATCTTCAATGCCTGAGATTCTCTCTTCCATCTCTTGTATTCTGTTGGCTATATTTGCATCTGTAGTTCCTGGTTGTTTACCCAGTTTTTCTATTTCCAGCATTTCCTCAGTTTGTGTTTTCTTTATTGTCTCTATTTCAGTTTTCAGGTCTTGCACTGTTTGAATTGTTTACTTCATCTGTTTGATTGGTTTTTTCTTGGCCTTTTTTAAGAGATTTGTTGATTTCTTGTATTTTTTGGTTTGTGTTTTCTTCCATTTCTTTAAGGGATTTTCTCATATTCTCATTGGGGACCTCTATTATTTTCATGAAGTTTTTTTAAAGGTCATTTTCTTCTGCTTCATCTGCGTTGGGATGTTCAGGTCTTGCTGGTGTAGAGTCCCTAGACTCTGGTGGTGTCATATTGGTTATTCTGTTGTTGAATGTATTTTTATATTGTTTTCTTCCCATCCCTTCTTCTAGTAGGTGCAGGTAGAGTCTCTTCCTGTCCTGGTGGATACGGGTCCAAGGTTCTCTTCTGGTGGGTGCAAGCAGGCCCAATACTCTTCCCGTGGTTGGAGGTGGAAGTAGTACAGGGACCTTGGCAGACTCTGGATAGGCTGTTTGGCCTGGACGGGGTCCCCGTGTACAGGCCCCAACCCTCAGGAGGCTCTGAGCAGGGCACCAGAAGGTGGTCAGAAACAAGCCCACACCTACCTCCTCCTGCGGGTGGAGGCAGGACTAGGACTCTGGCAGACTCTGGATGGGATGGTCCGCTGGGATGGGTTCCCCTGTGTGCTGTCTCCAGGCCTCAGGAGGCTCCAGCTGATTCGCTTAATCTTATATGGGTCCTGTGCCAGCAGCCACAGCTGCTGTGAGTTCATAAATGCAGCATTCCTGACATGTTCAGAAATTGTTTTTGCTCCTGTCCTTCCCTTAACTCTTGACTCTTACAACCCCTCTTCCACAGTGGTCTCTGAATATTGGGGTGGGGTTGTGATATAGCTGTCCTAATTATGGCTGAACATTCCACGGACACATACTCTCTACATTTTGACTAGTTAGGAGTTCCTGTGTTTGCCATCATCTGCTGTACATCTCTAATGAGGTCTGATAGCTGTACTCATCTGTGTGCAGAGAGAGATGGATTTAGAAGTCAGTTTGATATTCTGTCCATTTAGCAGAACAATTGTAGGCTCCTTCCAGGGGTCTGTGAGGTCCCCAACCATGGGTCCTAATTACCAGATGTGTGGTAGTTAGGGTTTTTATTACTGTGAAGAGACACCATGATCATGATGTCTTAAAAGGCAACCCTTATAAAGGAAAACATTTCATTAAGGCTAGCTTACAGTTTTTTAGTCCATTATCATGACAGGACATGGCAGCATGCAGGCATACATGGTGCTGGAGAAGGAGCTGAGAATTTTACATCTTGATCTGCAGGAAGCAGAAGCAACTGTGTGTCACACTGATTGTAGCTTGAACAAAGGAGACCTCAAAGCCCACCCCTCCAGTGACACACTTCCTCTAACAAGGCTGCACCTACTCCAACAAGGCCACATCTCCTAATAGTGGTCATTTTCTTTCAAACTACCCCACCAAGCATTCATTTTCTTCTGTGGAGCAGGCTTTAATAAACCATCCAGAAAGTGGTTGGTTATCCCCATAACTGGGTACTGCCATGGGTACTGCCATGCACCCATGAGCATATCTTGCCTTGGTGGTTATTATTGTAGCTCACAGGGTTTTCAGCTAGGTGAGACTCTTGACTTTTTACCTAGCAGCCTATATCACACCTTCCAACACTATAAAAGGCAGTGGGGAAGAAGCTTTCTGCTCAGTACCAACTTGATTTCACCATGTTCCATGACCTATATATGTGGTGTCTTTAGCAATAAGGTCTTTCCATTAAGTTCTAGTAGACAAGCAAGAGCAATGCCAATAGCCTGTATTACTTTGAGGGTCTCTGGGATACCTCTGACCAACTACTCAAGGGAAGGTAACACATACCTGGCACTGGGCTTTTTATTTGGCAATGTATGTCTTTGAGGAGAAGCAAAATTCCCTGTGTAGGGTAACTAATTAAATGCTTATAAAATGGGTTTCCATATGGCTTTTTAAAATATCCTTAAGTTAGTTGTAGAGAGTGTATGTCACTTGACAATCTATTCCTGACTTTTCATTCTCTTGGTCAAAATTTTAACATATTCTATAGCCTGATTTTTCTTGGTGTGTTGTTTCTTCAGGACAATACATAAACATTTATGTTGCAGGACATGTGGAATAACTAGACACTGAATCATGGGTACTTTGGTCCTGGGCTTCTGACCATTGTTAGGGCTTTCTGCCAACATAAAAGGAAGAAGCCAGATTCTACCAACATACTACTGTCACTCCCATGTAGTAAAAATTAAATTCTTCAAAATTATAAACATATTTTAGAGAGAGTAGCTTTTTGTACGTTCTGTTTTTGCTTTTGTGGCATAGTATCATGAAATTTTTTTTAAAAAAATGTTAATATATTCGTGTTTGTTCCTTACCTGCATATAGCAGGTATTTGGAACTCAAGAGGACAACTTGTGGGAGCTTATTCTTTCTTTCCATCCTGGAGGTCAAATTCAGGTCATCAGGCTTGGCAACAAGTGGCTTTGCCTCTGAGCCATCTTGCTAGCCCTCAGCTGAATTTTGTTAATAATACTTAACAGTGTTTGGATGGTCAAATACACGTACATACTAAAACACTAATAGAGGTATCTGTATCTTACTTTTTTAATAAAAGTGAGATGACAATGTGTACTCTCAGCCCAAACTGTAAATAGGGTTGTTCTGTAAAAGAAAAAAAAAAAAAAGCTCCTGATATTTGTCAATATGGTTTTCTTAGTGTGTATTTGCCTTAAAAGAGCACAGTTGCTGAAACCCAGAATTATTCTTGTCTGTGTTTTGGTATTTTCTGACTGCTGCATTCTGTGTTCTCCTTTTTCCTGGTCTTTTGAGAACATTATTTCACTTGGTTCTTCCATGAGATTGATTTTGTAGTTTCTACAAACGAGTGAAAACTTGTAGCTTTTGTCTTTGTGTATCTGGTTTGTTTCTCTTACATAACTATTTCCAGTTTTGTTCACATTGCAAATAACAAAAATTAATTCCTTTAATGGCTAAGTAATATGCCATTGAGTGTACATTACCACATTTTCCTTTTCCATTTATCTGTGATGGGTGTCTTGACTTATTTTATATATTGGCTAGTAATACAATTTTTTGTGTTTGTGATGTGTGTACATGTTTCTGAGATGTGTGTTCGTATATATGCAGGTGCCCGTGTGTTTAGAGACCTTAGCTCAGCATCAGATGTCTTCCTTTATCACTCTCCATCTTATTTTTTTCAGACAGGGTCTCTCACTAAACCTATACTTCGGTACTTGGCAGAACTGTGTAGTCAATGAGTTTCTGGGATCCACCTGTCTTTACTATTTGCACACACACCCCCAACACACACACACACACACACACACACACACACACACACACACACACACACACACACACAATACGGGTTCACAGCTGCACATCACCATGCCTAGCTTTTGCATGGGTGCTGGGAGCTGAACTCACAACCTCATGCTTATGCAACAGGCACTTTACCAGTCAAGCCATCTCTCTATCCCCTGCAGTTTCTTTATAGTTCTGTTTTTTCTGTCTAATAAAGCACATAACTTTTTATTTAAGTTGTTGTTATTATTTACTATCTACGAAGTGCTAGATACCAAACCAGAGTTTCTTACATGCTAGACAGACATTCTACAAACTGTACACCATAAAACTGAGGATGCAGGAGAGTATGTATTTCCTTATGGGGATTGAGGCACAGCATACTGTTAAGGGCACACTTAGTACTGATGTGGAAATGAAAACACTTGTCTTAATTTCTGAAGATAAATATAACTTTAAATTTCAGTGTTTTATGCTGCTGTCTTTAAGTAATAGTAGTATAATTTAAATTTTGTTTAGGCTTCGGGAGCAAGAAAAAAAAGAAGCAGAAGAAGCTTGCCAGAAGGAAGTAGAAGAGTGGGAAAGAAAACTTCTTGCTCAAGCAGCGCCAGCCTGTATGGAGAACATGTGGGAAATTCCAGCCATTGGGCATTTCCTTTGTTTAGCCCAACAGATTCTAAACTTACCAGAAATTGTTTTTTATGAGCTGGAACGCTGTCTTCTGATGCCTCAGTGTAATGCCTTTCTGTCTAAAATAATGACTTCTTTACTAAGTCCTCCCCACCGCAGGCCGACCTTACATCGAAGACCTGCTTTGCCTTACAGGACTTGGGAAGCAGTGCTGAGACAGACAGTACAACAGTGGTACACTGCTGTAGGACAGACTGAAAATCCTGATGACTGTGCTGAAAAACTTGGCTTGTGTCCTCAGTTTTTCAAGGTTCTTGGAGAAGTTAATCCATTGGAAGAAAAACCTTTTCACGAGCTACCTTTCTACCAAAAGGTGTGGTTACTTAAAGGGCTCTGTGACTTTGTGTATGAAACACAGAAAGAAGTTCAGGATGCTGTGCTTGGGCAGCCCATTCATGAGTGTAGGGAAGTCATCCTTGGCTATGACTATCTAGAGAACGCTTATGTGCACTTTCCACAATTCTGCGGTGCAGATGTACGGATTTATAAACAAAGACCCTTTCAGGCCCCAGAATTTCCAGTTCCACCCATTAAAGTCAAAAGAGTTCCTCGAATTAAACTGGAGAAATTCAAGTGTGACTATGTAAGTACAAGTAATGGAGATCACAGATGTAATAGAGAAAGTCTGCCCTCAGCCTTCAAGAAAGAGCAGGAAATTGATTTTGGTCCAGCCCGTTGTCCTGCTAAAATGAACTTTGATAATCATGACATCTCTGTTGAAATGGAAGTAAAATCCAACTGTGACATTAAACTACACAGGCCCTGTGAAATTGAAAAAACTGATAGTTGTAAAGAAAATTTGGAGAAGCCCAGAAGTCCAGGAGAAGTTACTGGCTTTGGAGAGCCACTAAGTCCAGGTGAAATAAGGTTTATAGAAAATCAGGAAAAATATGGTGAAGCTTCCACAATAAAGACAGAACCCAGTCCACTAAAAGAAAACGCTCTGAAATCTTGCCAAATTCATATAAATGGGAGTCACATCGATCATCAAGACATTAACTGCCACAAAGTTGTGAGAGATCTTTTGTTAGAGCACTCATTGCAGAACCACAAAAAACTAAAACTAACTAAGATGAGGACGAAAAAGAAGAAAAAGAAAAAAAAGAAACTGAAAGATGTTTTAAATGAAAATTTACAAAGAAAGCGTGAAGGTCTTCATTCTCTTGCCTTCAAGTCTTACAAACCTGAGATCCAAAATAAGTTATTGATCATTAAAAAGAAAGGAAAACACAAGAAGCACAAATCTGGTAAGCTGACCTAATGGGCAAGACTTACATTTAAGTGTAATTACATTTTTCTTCAATTATGCATCATGGAAGCACTGATTGATAGAATGAAATGCTATGTGTATTTATGTGTATGTGGCAGGGGTCAAGTTTTATTTCACATGAATCGAAACCCAGGGCAGGAAAGATTTTTATATACTAACAAAAAATAACTGGTGTAATACATTTGAATGAATTGCAATTTGACATATTTGGAGATATAATTTGTTTTGTTTTTTTGAGACAGGGTTTCTCTTTGTAGCTTTGTAGACCAGGCTGGCCTCAAACCACAGAGATCTGCCTGCCTCTGCCTCCCAAGTGCTAGGATCAAAGGCATGCACCACCACTACTTGGCTATTTTGGGATATTATATTTTTATATTTTTCCCTGTAAATGATGTGCCTCCATCACTTAAAGTGATTTTTTTTTCTTCCAAGCTAAGGACAGCACATATATAGCAACTTATTTCTTTATCTAGAGTAATCATATTATTTATTGAGTCTGAACTTACTCGCCTTAGCACTTTCTTTCCAGTATGGATTTTCATATCTAGAAAAAAAAACAACCTGGGAATTATGTCAATTAATAAAACACCAAGATTGAAGCATATACTTATAAAAGGTGGTGGTGGCTCACACCCTTAATTCCACCCAACACTAGGGAGGCAGAGGCAGGCAGCCAGCTTGTTTTACAAAGCAAGTTCCAAGAACATCAGAGCTGATACACAGAGAAACCCTGTCTCAAAAAGAAAGGAAAAAAAAAACAAAAAACAAAAAAAAACAGGAATTTCTAAGTCTGTCTTAAATACTCTATATATTTGCCAGTAGCCTATTTGAACAACAGAAGTTCTTCTATTCTGGTTGATTGCTCTTTTTTTTTTTTTTTTTTCTTTTCTAAAAGGATTCTGTTGCTTTTGTGTGTCCTATGATCTATCTTAATCATTTTATATCTCATCTACCACAGGATAGGTGAGACAAAAACATATGGTCAGTTATATAACCTGTATAAAAAAAAATTGCTTGATGGAAGAAAAAAATAAGAATTGCTTACCAAAATGAGTTGTGGTTCCAGTCATCATTGTGTGTTTCATTTTCATTCCTTCTCACAGCAACATAGTTAAATTGGTAGAAATTTGCTACTGAGTTGACAAATGAAGGAGTGAGATTTTAGTTACTTAAATCATTACATAGAACTCAGTATGTTCTAAAACGTGTGTGATGAATGAATCATGATAAAGTATAGGGCCAGAGAGATGATTGAGCAGGTAAAAGCTCTTGCCACCAAACTTGATAACCTGACTTCTAACAAACAGGGGTCAGGGGTTAGGTACACACAATAAATAAATAAATAAATAAATAAATAAATAAATAAATAATTTAGAGTAGTAGTATAATGTTAACTACCAAAACCAGGCCTAGATTTGTTTGACTAAAACTTTTAAAGTGGTCCATATTGACCTAACTTTTTAAAGTAACTTTCAGAAAAACTTAACAATGACTATGTGAAGGTCTTCATTCTCTTGTTTTCAAGTCTTACAAGTCTGAGATGTAATGGTATTGCATCCAATGTTATAAGAATAAACATTTGTTTTACATCATTTCAGACCACTTGTTTTGTAAATTTTTATTAGGTTTTGAGGCAGCATGATCTTTTTTGGTTGAGTTTCCATCATGTTTGAGTCCAGTGCTTCCTTTTTTTATACTTTTTAGAAAGTAAGCTCCATGATAATATGTTGACAAGGGTTCCCTTACTGTGTCTTAGTATAGGTTCATGGTGCATTCTGGGAAACTCCTACCACATTTGTTTTGAAATTTAGAAATCTTGGGATTTTAAAGGAAGATTATGATATATCTTGTATTTATTGAATAACATCCCTTAGAAGGACTTGTGAGTGGTTAGAGCAGATGAAATTTTTTTTTGAAATCTTACAACAGTTCAGGGCTGAATTTGTTATTTTAAAACTTTTAGTTTTCAGAGCCATTTTAGACTTAAAATTTTAGGTAAATGATTTGGGGCCTATGTATTAAGAATTCTGGAAGACTTCAAAGGAAAGAAAACTTTGTTTTGATTACTCTAGTATTCTCTTCAAGTTTATTTTTACACATAACTTTCCCATGTAATGGTTAGCTCGTGTGCCTTATAGAACTGTTTTGGGTTAAGCTATGTTATCCACGACTGGTTTATCAACTTAGACTTAGAGCAAACTAAATTTTACATGTGGTTGGTTATCTGGTTCACAATATGTTGTAGACTACAGGCTTTAAATTTTTAGGTGTTTCTGATTTTTAGTTAAATTTATGGTTGTGATGGGAGATGATTTTTTTTAAATAGAAGGTACAAATGCAAATCAGTTTGAATGATTTAATAATTTTAGTACACTGTGATCCACTTTTGTAATTTTTAAGCATAATATATGCATCATTTCCACTCTACACTTCCTCAGCTACAGCTCTTCTCATGTCTCCCCAATCCCTTTCAACCTCACAACCTACTCTTTAATTGTCGTTTTATACACATACACACACACACGCACGCACGCACGCACGCACGCATGCACACGCATGTGTACACACACATAAAAATACAACCTGCAAATTCCATTAATATCTCCCAAGGCCCCACCACTAGATGAAAGAGTTGCAAGCAATTAATGGCCGCTAAGAGGGAAAATCAGTCTTTTCTAGACATGAGCTCAACCTCCACCCCTGCTGTTAGATTATCCAGTCATAAATGGTCATCTGTAAACATGTATACATATAAGCTACACTACAACTTTTTCAGAGGAAAAATACCAAAGTTTAAAAAAATTACAGGTTCTCTTTACATTTACTGTTGCTATTGGTGGAAAAGCAAAAGCAGTGTATTTTCCTTCTGCTCTTAAGCAAAAAAAAAAGTAATAATATTTTTTTTAAAAATGTCCTTTCCTCATTACCTCATTCTTTTATCACTTAAAGAAACTTCCCATTATTTTTCTAAGTAAGTTTTTCTCATTTGTATGTATTTAGAGTATCAGGCACTTCTTTATAATACTTAACTAATAGTGGCATTTATTTTTGGTATAGTTTGACAGAGTGTTTCCCTTCTACTCTAGCATTCTTGAGGACTGAAGGATTATTTCTGGTTTTGTATCCCTAGCACTTAGTGCCATGTCTAAGAATCTATTAAATAAATGGATATATATATATATATATAGTATGGTTTTCCAGATATATCTAAGATTAGCCTCTTCCTATATATCTTTTTTTTTTTTTTTTCTGGTTTTTCAAGACAGGGTTTCTCTGTGAAACAGTCCTGGCTTTCCTGGAACTCACTCTGTAGATCATGCTGGCCTCAAACTCACAGAGATTCACCTGTCCCTTCCTCCCAAGTGTTGGAATTAAAGGCATGCGCCACCACCTGGCTTTACTGTGCATTTTAATATCATTTTAAGACATATGTTTTAATAGGATCATATTATATATACTTTTTAAAATATACTTTGCACAACTCTGATATAAATCGATCTTTGCCGAATCATTTTAAATGGCTGTATAGGATTCTATATTTTGTAGTTTATTGAATCACCCTCCTTAGTGGATGTTTTGGTTGCTTTAGTATTTGTTACAGGCTGTGTGAAGCAAATAGCTCAAACTAATTCAAAATATAAAGATGCATTTGTAGTAATAAAAGACATCTTAAGTTATCCATTTTAAACTAGTTTTAGTATAAAGGTGTTTTCTTCTCTCAGCAGTCATTCTTTTCAACTAGATCATTTTGTGATACTTATAAATTGATGTAAATAGATAAGGCAAGCAGTTTAATTTTCTTATAGGTTAAGAAACTTTGATCAGATGCAAGATAGCCTGGTTGAGTAAAGAAAGGCTCTTGCTGCCACACCTGATGATCTGTGGTCATTCTTGGGACCCATATGGTAGAAAGAAAGAACCAGCTCTTCCAAATTGCGTGTGCACGCACGTGTGTGTGTGTGTGTGTGTGTGTGTGTGTGTGTGTGTGTGTGTGTATTTTTTTTTTTTTTTCATTTGAAGCAGAGTCTCACTGTATAGCTCTGGCTAGCTGGAACTCTTTATAGAGCAGGCAACCCTTGAAGTTTAAGAGATCCACCTACTTCTGCCTACCAAGTACTGTAGTTAAAGGCATTTTTGGCTAATTAAAAAAAGAAAGAGAAAATTAAGTTCAAAACTGGTAAATATGGGTCTGTAGAGGTGGCTCAGCTATTAAGAATACTTGATGCTTTTGCAGAAGACCCGAGTTCAGTTCCTAGCTCTAAAAGGAGGCTCAGCCATCTGCATGCAACTCTACTTCCAGGGAATCTGACACTCTACTGGCACCTGTGGCACACATACATACAGGTAGACAAACACTTCTAAGACTATATAAATCTTAAAAGAAAAAAACCTAATAAATAGCCTTCTCAATTTAATAATCATGACCATACAATAAAAAGAGGAAGCAAACAGGAAATCTCAGTGTATACGAGGGGAAGATTTCACAAAGAACGAAGGACTTTGAAGAATAATTAGGCTTGAACAGATAAAACATGATTAAATCATCAACAGAGCATACTTATGATTAATCAAGTTGTTAAAAAATAGCACAATAAAAATCTTTGAAGTAAAAGTTGAGGGGTTAGAATCTATTTCAGTGTATGCCATACTATGGTAGTTTAAATAATTGAATCAAGATCCCAAGAGCAAATGAATGAGCTTTATATGAGATATGTCAGATACATAAAAAGCAGTTTATAGAAAATAATACAAATAATATAATACAAACTACTTGGTTATTTTCAAGGCCAAATTTGTCAAAAGTTTGTAGAATTCTATATTGATGGCACCTAGAACCTAACTATATGTGTCTTCATGGAAAATATTTTTAGAGTACCAACTAGAGACTGCAAGATTATGTGAGGATGAAAGAATTCACTGTACATCTTGTCAGTTTATTTTTATTTTTATTATTTTGCAGTGCTAGGAATGAAATCC